CGTCGATCCAAATTGGGTCCAGCTCCGGAAGGGAATTAAAGACACAGATGGCCTCCCCATGGAGTTCAGCAAGACCCGGTCGCTCTTGGTCGTCATGATGTTAATGCTCCGCGAGCCGCGTGTGTTCTTGTGGCCTTTCCCTCACGCCGAGCAGGCTGGGGATGTGATTGAAGCCATCCTGGGTTTCTGTGTCCCATGGCAAGAAGCGCACAGAGGGTTCCGGCACGACTTCGCAAGCACCTGGGGACTCACGCTGGACGATCTGGCCGATCTCCACGGCCGCATCGAGGCAATCCTGCCCCGCATCTCCAGGCTCGTAGCGGTGGCGCACCACCACCCTGACGCGCGGGCAGCTGGCTGCCCGCAGACCTGGAGTGAAATGGACCGACAGGACTTTCAGCTGAATGCGCCGATGCTCGTCCTCGAGAAGATCGTCCCAGCCGCCTCCCCGACCCCCCTGGGTACGCACCGCTGCTCGGTGTGCGCGCTTCACGTCGCGCTCGCAGGCTCAGACGCCTCCCTGGGCGACGACGATCGGTGTGCGGGGCTCGCCTACATCGGCGGCGGATTCGCGCTATCCAACACCGATCTGAACGCCCCCTTGCCGTCCGCCCCTGCTCCAGGCACCAAGCAGGACCCTCCACGCATCCCCGACGACAGGCTGACAGCTGAGCAGAAACACGGCAGGTTCAAGTGCGACAGTTGCGGCAAGGACCAGCTACGCTCCACAGAAGGCACGTGGATATCCGACGACACACGCCTGATGGTAGCGCAGAACCGGCCCCAGGCCTACCTCGACGGTGCAAACATGGGGCGGCACTGCGAGATCTGCTGGATCCGACACCTGGAGGACCAGGGCATCCCAGCACCAACCGGTGCAACAGTCGCGGACAAGGCCAAGGAACACGAGCAGCAGAGGACCGGTGCCGCAAGCGACAAAAAGGCGGATGCCCTCCCCTCCCTGGGTCATCTCCGGCTTGTCTTTGGATGCAGCCCCCAGGCAGACACGAGATCGCTGTCGGACCTCATCATGACGCCGACGGGCATGCAGATCCCTGAGCGCGCCAACACCACCATTCCCATCCTACGAGTCAGGGATGAGCGGTTCGGCCTCAAAGCTGCGGAAAACAAAGTCTACTCTGCACGGTGCGACACATGCCCCCCAGGGGCACCGCTCCTGGTCTGGAATACTGGAGCACCTCCCCTGGGCTGCTTCATATGGAAGCCAAAGGAGGGGGTAGGGGTTCCCGTGCAAGCTGGGCTGCCTCCCATCGAGCGGCGAGCCATAGCCTGATGGGAGCGCAACTGGAACGCCACTTGGCGCTGCCGGCGGTGCCTGGTCCCCGTATGGAACATCGGGCCTGCGACCCTGGACCGCATCCTTGTTAGAGATTACAGGGCACTGTATCCAGCTGAGGCCCCTGTCCTCCCAACGCTCAACAGCCAGATAGTAGCGGATGTGGCGGTGGACATTCTTAGACCCCTTCCATGGATGGGCGCTGACGCCAAGGCCCCAGATCGCTTCACCAAGGCTGGGGCGGCAAACCTCCCTGGGTCTAGCGCCTCGGGTGGAGCGGCCCCCGCGGCCGAGCAAGCCCCCAGGACTCTTGCACAGCTCATGGAACTCCTGCCAGAGCTGCCAGTCCCGCAGTGGCCACTCCTGGACTGCAGGGACGTCAACAACCCCACGCTCAGCTCAGATGACCCCAGGAGCGGATCTGGCAGCGGAGACGTGGTTGTTCAGCGACTCCTGGTGACCTACCTCCGGGACTTCCACCCTGGACTGGAATACACTTGGCGACAGTTCTGTCGCAGCCATCGCGACGACAGCATCCCAGAGCCCAAAAACGAAGAAGCCTCCTGGCCAGGCGGACGGTCGACGGGGTTTCTCCGGACGGCGCGCGGCGAATACATCTCGAAGGATTGTTCCCCGCTCAACCAGCCCTGGGAAGGCAAACGACTGGCCGCCGCGCGGGTCGTCTCCCACCTCGCCAACGGCGAAAAGCACAAGGAGTCCTGGGAGAGGCACGCGGTGGCCCTCGCCCCGGCGAGTGGTTTCAACCCTGTCAGACACGAGATGGGCACGCTGACGAGTTTCCTACTCAGCCTCAGCGCCGACGCCCTGGCCTCGGCAACCATCACCCCCCTTGCGGAGTCCACGTGCAGGCAATGAGTGAGGACAGACTAAACACCTCTACTGCGGCCGGTGCAGACAACCCCTTGGGTACGAAAGACGCCGACACGCGTTCTGGTGACCCGAATGTGCCTGACCTCGCTGCCAAAGACGAGGACGGCGAAGACGAAATCCCTCCTACTGAAAAAGCGGATTCAGCCGACTTTGGAGGCCCCCAAGAGTCTCCTCCTCCGGGATCCTGCACGGGCTCGGCCACGGAAGTTGAAGACGATGGCCCTGGCGACAAGGCGCCTCAGCAAAACCCAACGGCAGACAGCATGGAACCCAGCTCCGACCACGACCCGATAGCCGCCTGGGGTGGCACAGCCAACATCGAGCAGGACGCCAGTGGGACCAGGGGACCAGATCACGACGAAATTGCCCGAGACAGAGGTACTACGCAGGACCGCCGCCCCCCACTACGTCACCCACAGGCACTTGGCCATAGGCTTGCCTACTCTAGATCAACGGAGCGACACGCACTCAACCAGCTGACCGACGCCCATGGAGGCCCCATGTACAAGGCCTGGTTGGGCTCCGTGGACTTGGAGCGCCGCGGAGAGTTGCCCGCCAAGCGCATCACCAGGCACCGCATGGAGTTGGGTGGAGTATTCTGTGCTCTGTGGACGGCCTACACAAAAGGCATCCGGATCCCTGGGGCCAGGGAACCCAAGTCAGACCCGAGGCTGCACTCGGATGCGACCATCAACAAGTTTTTGGATGACTGGAAACACTGTGGATACGATGCCAACGTTATGGACAGGAATTAGAACTTCCACATCGATTGGGCGACGGTGCGGGCCGAATACCTGCGCCACACCTGGCCCGACGGCACGGGCAAGGGCAACCGCCAGCAGAGCAGCTGGCACGATCGGGCGACGAGCTCCTGGGACGCCTGGGACAACTGGCAGAGTGACTGGAGCGCTGGCTGGCACGACGACCGGTGGCAGTCAGGAGGCAAGCGTGGTGGCGGCAGGCCAGACGATCGTGGCGAAAAAAGGCAACGATGGGGCGACTGAGCTCCCCCCCACCCATCCCATCCCCTGGAGGGACAGGTGTAGCGTCCGAGTTGCACACTTCGCGCAGCCTTCAGCTGCCTCCCTGGGCTCTCTCAACCCGTGCGGCGGCCTTGCTGCCGCCCTCCCTGGTACACGCACTTCCTGCCTTAGGACCCAAGTGTGTCTACCAGCAATACCATCTGCATTGCAGCGCGGGGGAGTGCTGCGTGCAGACCTTAGTTGGCCCTCGGCCCCGCTGTAGTTGTTCTCACTTCTGGCCCGGGCGGATCCCGTGCCCGGCCGTGCGGCTTTGTGACCGACGCAAGTGCTTCGCCTCGTCTCTGTCCTGAGCCGCGCTTTCACTCCCTGGGTTCCCAAGTACAGCGGCCTTCAGCTGCTCATCAGACACTATACTCGTGTGGCGGCCTTCCGCCGCCCTCCCTGGCACGTGCACTTCCTGCCTTTGGACCCAAGTGTGTGTACCAGCAATGCCGTCTGCATGGCAACACCAGTACGTGTTGCGTGTAGTCATAGTGGCCCCCGGCCCCGCTGTGGCTGGTTTCACCTTGCCAGGCTCGCCCCGGCCCCGCGGTTCTGTGACCGACGCAAAGATGGCTTCGCCTCGTCACCCTCAGAGCCGTGCTCTCGCTCCCTGGGCTTTCCCAAGATACTACGGCCTTCAGCCGCGCTTCTCCGCCTTCGCTGGGAGCGACCCTGGGCTTGGGCTCATCGTCAGTGGGTCTCAGCGTTGCTCAGGCGGTCTTGTGCGTTGCGGTTCGCCCCGCTGCGTTGGCTGGAGTGCCCACCCGGTCCGCTGCGGCCGTACTCGGACTCTGGGTCGCAGGTGTGTTCCCGTGCATGACTTGCCACAGTTTGGCAGCGGTTGGCCCTGGCGCGCCCACCCCGGTGGCTAGTGGTGCACCGCTCGCCGCAAGGATCCGTGCGCACTGACGTCACCCCATCGTCGCTCCCACGCTCAACCTTGTTGAGCGGTCCGTTCCTGGGCTTCTGCGTGACTACGGATTGCTTGTGCTGCAGTGGGTATGCGGCAGCGCAGCTTTCTCAGAGCGCTAGTTCCACCCTTTCTGGTCCGTCAGAGTCTCCTGGAGAGCTGCTCTTTGTTATGTCACTTAGTTGCTTCCTGGTACACGCCCTGTCATCTTCGGTTGGCCTTTGCGTCTCTCGCCGAGGTCGGGAGCAGGTGTACCTTCCGCACTGCGCCACATCATGTCGTTGATCTTTCGCGTGCGAACGCATTCTTCCGCAGTTGGTTTGAGGGTCGACGTGCATTGGTTGTCACTGACTTCGGTCGTGCCTTTTCAGCCGCGTTGATGCGTACCCTGAAGCTGCGACGGTTCGCTGGCGCTGTCAGAGTCCCTTTATCCTGCAGGACTGCGTCAGCTCTCTCGCCTACGGTCTCGCTCATACCCGGCAGACACCCTGGGCTCTCTGACACTCTTCTTGCACGGAGTCACGATCCCCACTGCCTCGTGGTCGTCGGACCGACACGACCCTTGACTGGGGGTGTGCATCGCGTCATTTTGGCAGCGTCCTCCCTGCTCCCCGGGTGCCTGTTCCCCTTCAGACTCCCTGGGCTGCAGCTTGCACCGCCGCCTGATCCGCGGCCCCCGCGCGCGCCCGGCTAATTTGTTACGGCCGCAGCCCGACAGTGATTTGCCGCCGCCGGCGCTTCCGCCTGCGGCTGTAAAAAAAAGTATCCCCACTAGGTTTCCGTAGCCAGCTGGCTCAATTCGGAAAGACCGGAGACATTCTGACTTTAGTCTTTAGTCGGTTTGGCTTCAGGGTTCCCTTTTTATTTTCATTGCCGGATGAGAAAGAGAACCGCAGCCCGCGGCGGACGCAGCGGGCGCGAGCCGCCGTTGGGTGATGGCCCCGTCTTCCCACAAAAGTTTTCCGACGCGCGTGATCCATGCAGGTGTTGCGTTCACGTTGCCGCGAGCATGCGCAAATGGTGGTTGGCGACAACAGACAAGGAGTACCTCTCGTCTCCGACAAGCCGTCGGTCGTCATGGAAATACGATGCTGCTTTCGTTAGGTTCCCCCTCACGGCAGGATGGCTGGCATTGATGTGGACAGGGGTCCTCCCCAACGACTCTGAGCAGTGGGTGGTGGCGTGGGTTTTAGTTTCGTGTGTGTTATTCGCCTCGCTTCAGTCTTGCCTCCCCGTGACGGAGTTGTGGGTTGATTTCGTTAGCAGTAGCTTCTATTGCATAGTGACCTGTGTGCTATTCAGACGCCTACCCACCACATATGCGCTCGGGGTTATGCAGCTTCCCATGTATTCACTCTGGGTCTGGGCGAGTGGGATCCACGTGTTGTTTGTCACGCAGTACGTTATATGTGGCTGCATATGTATTTGGTGTGCTGCACCGGACCACTACGGCTACGACATGAGTACAGCAACCGTCTCGGTGGTTTTGTCGCTTGTGAATTTGGTGTTCACTTCTATGATGGATATTCAGATTGTGTACCAGTACCACCGTGTGAAGAAGCTCGTGAAAGTTTGCGCAGACGGGGTCCTCACGGTGAACGCGACCACTGGCGTCATCGTCGGCTCGGACCGAGAAGCGTCGGACCTCTTGGGGGAGAGTTTGGCTGGATCACAATTGCACGCCGTGATTCGCGACAGGGATTGTGCCCATGTCCGTGAGTGGCTGAAACAATCTGCTGCCGACCCGTCGGAGGGGCTCATGGTCACGCTTCGTTGCAGGCACAACGGTGAGTGTGAGGTTCGCTTTATACCGTACGATGTCGTTGGCCCTCTCGTGCACGTCTGTTTCCAATTGGTGGGCGAGGTGAGGAGCATTTACAACGACGGGCCCAGAGCTGCGGCGTCCGGGAGCGGCTCTCGCCCAGAGCAGCCGCCCGAAGTCGGCGGGTCCCGCCTTACGCTGCAGCGCAACAGTGACACATGCAGCTTCGACCCCTCCAGCACCGCGAGGAACCCCCGCCCGCAGCAAGTGCAGGAGGCTCCGTCCGAGCACAAATCAGAGGTCAGCGCGCTGTCGAGCTTGGCGATCTCCAAGACGACCCCCTCGGCCTGGCGCCGCGTCCCCCGCACGAGGACCGTCGAGGTGCAGACGCTCCCGACCGAGCCGTCTCCACGCCCGCCGTCAATGCCGGAGCTCAGCAGGGACGTGGAGACCCTGCGCCGCGCAGGCGTGCCGTGGGCCTGCCGCGCGAAGAGGCGGGTCAGGCTCAACACCACGAGGCGCCAGGTGCCGGCGTTCGCGGAGACGCCCAAGGAGACGGTGGTGATGCGATTGCGGGACGCCATCGCGGGCATCAACGTTTGTGGCCGAGGCTGCTGCGCGGGCCACGTCTGCGCAGCCTCGGCGAGGAGAGCCCTCGAGGTCATGCTGCGGGGGGCCTGCCACGACGTGGAGTTCGGCGACCGGCAGTGCCCGGAGTGCCTCGCTCTGATCGACCAGGAGGCGGACGCGGGCGAGCTGCAGGAGTGCGAGACCTGCGGGGCCGAGATCTGCCCTCTGCCGCCCACCGGGCCTGCCTCCGCAGGGTCGTCGCCCTCGCCTTCTTCGGACGAGGCGGCCCCGGCGGCCCAGGCGCGCGTGTGCCGGCCGCGGGCCTCTGCCGCTGCGGGCGCGGCGGCGGGCTCTCTGCCGCCCGGTGGGCGGGCCTCTGCCGAGTCGGCGCCCGCCTTGGACGAGGCCCTGGCCGCCTTCACGTTCCGGGTCACGGTAGATCGAAGCGACGGCACCAGTCTCGGGATCGACATCGACACTCGCGATGGTTCCGCAGTATTAGTGGAGAGGGTGACGGAAGGCCTCTTCGCGCAGTGGAATGACCGCAACGAAGAAGCGAGGGTCAGAGAGGGTGATTATCTGGTCCAGGCGAACGGAATTTCTGGCAACGCAGACCGGATTGTTGCCGAGTGTGGTGAGTTCAAGCCGCTTGAGATTCTCGTCTGGAGGAAGCCCATGGCCAGAGAGCAACACCAGGTGACCGGTTAGACCCGTCCCGAGAGCGACTGTTCAATTTGTTATTTTTTTGTCTTTTGAGGTGATCAGGGAAGCGCAATCTGAAACAGCGAATGCCCAGGGGAGTTGAGGTGATCAGGGAAGTGGGGGAGCAGGCAGAGTAACAAAGGGCTGGGGAAATCGTCATATACCCCAAGAGGGGGAGGATGGAGGAGGAATCGTCGTCGTCGGAGGAGGCTGAGGAGGAGGAGGAGGAGGTGGGGCAGGGCGAGGACGAGGAGGACAAGGAGGCGGAGAAGGAGGAGAAGGAGGGAGAGCTGGGTACCTCGGGGATCCTCTTGAGGCCTCGCATGGGGTTTCTTGTGAGCATCTTGGAGGCCTCTTGGGGCCGTCTGGGCGCTTATTGAGGCCCTCTTGGGGCTCTCTTGGGAGCTTTCAGGGGCGCTCTTGGGACCATCTTGGAGGACATCGATCAACAAAGAGGGGAGCTACTATAGCCTGGCCATTTTTTTGACAACAGCTTCAACAGTGTCGGTGTCGTAGCCCAGTCGCACCGACAATCCGACCAATCGTCCAGAGAGCTGCTGGGACTTGACTGAATCTTTTTATAGGGGGGTTGTCATAAGTGCAACTCCTTGCGAGACCTCGTTGCACTCACGAGGGCATCCGCTGATTTGTTCGATTGTTCAAACCGTCCTGGGGTCTTGCCGTACGTGTGAGGAGGAGGAAGAGGAGGACGAGGGGGGGAGGAGGGGGGTGGAGAGAGAAGGGGGACGGGGGGAGGAGGAGGGAAGAGGGATGATGATGATGATGCTGATGATGATGATGATGATGATGATGATTATGATGCTGCTGCTGATGATGATGATGATTATGATGCTGCTGCTGATGATGATGATGATGATGGTGATGATGATGATGATTATTATGATGCTGCTGCTGCTACTGCTGCTGATGATGATAATGACGATGATGATGATGATGATGATGATGATGATGATGATGATGATGATGATGATGATGATGATGATGATGATGATGAGGAGGATGATGATGATGATGATGATGGGGAGGAGGAGGAAGAGGAGGAGGAGGAAGAGGAGGAGGAGGAGGAGGAGAAGGACGAGGAGGAGGAGGAGGAGGAGGAGGAGGAGGAGGAGGAGGAGGGGGCGGAGGAGGAGGAGCAGGAGGAGGGAGGAGGATGTGGAGGAAGAGGAGGAGGAGGAGGAGGAAGAGGAAGAGAACTTCAATTGGCCTGCTGTGGATTCGGCTTGGGCGCTTGATTTTTTCATGTGCATGCGGTCGAGCACCGACCAAGCGGAGCGGAACGGGAAGCCCCCCGTCCTGCAGCGAGTTCGTGCCCTCTACGCTCTCTATCGCCGTCAGAACGGCATTCGACACAATGCCACGAGACGAAAAACACGAAGATCCTCTTCGCCATGAACGAGTGGGACATGCGCCCACACATCCTCGCCGCCCTCCGCTGCGAGGGCTCGGCCATCATCCATACGGGGGTCATGCCAGCGGGCTGGCTCGAGGAGGAGCTGTCGACGTGGCTCGACGCGCTCGCTCAGTAGACGGAGCTCCTGATGATCACGAACTGAAGGCGCCTGTGCTACCTCTGTCGCGTGGCCCCGCCGCGCGTGACCTCTCTCTTCCCATCCTCTTTGTTCGTTCAAGCTCGCCGCCTCGCGCGGCACCGGTCCAGACACCAGTCATCAGCATTAGATACGCTCGCCCGTCGGCCGCACCCACAGACTCACACGGCGATCGGGAGGTTGAATCGCCGAGTCTAGGAGCTGAGGTCGCCCCAGAGCATGACTTCTCGGCCGACGAAGCGGCGGCAGCAGACTTCGGACTATAGTTATCTTCTGACAGATACCATTCATCGTATAGTTGTGTGTAGAGATCGGGCACCGTGATGGCTGTCACGGAGTCTGCGCTTGAATCCCTCTTCATTGTAGTGCCGCCACCCCTCACCCCGCACAGCCAGCCACGCCGCTCGAGCACCTGCCTGTGCACGCGCTTTGCGAGTTACGGAGTCCAGCCCTCCGTGCGACGGGATTCTTTTCGAAGCGGTGGTATAGCCATCGAAGCCTTCTTTTTGCAAGACTCCAGCCATCCATTCAGGCCAGAGCACTCATCCCAGATGTCGACGAAGAAAAAAAAACCCTCTCCGCCCTGAGGCGCCTTCTCCCCGTCCCCTGCCGGACGGTGGCCAGGGCGCCCCAGGACCCCCAACTGGCCCCCTGAGGGCCCCAAGCGGGCTCTGAGTGGCCCCCAGGGGGGTTCCGAAACCTGCGCGCATTCAACACCTCCCTTCCCCCTTGTTGGGGTCGGTTTCGTGTTCAATATGCGTTGGTTTTGGGGCTCTCGTTGGGGGCCTCTTGGTGCCGTTTGGTGCCCTCCCCGGGGCCTGCTGGGCCGTTCTGGGGTGTCTGCAGTTACTCTATCTCGAGACAGATCGCTGACAGCGTTGGTATCGACGCTCGTCGTGCTTGATCTCCCCTCCCTGGTACGAAGACGTCTTGTG